ATTTGAACGCGGGCGCTGCCTTTAAGTTACTTTTTGTTGCTATTCGTATTTTCTCTTGCAGCGATATTTCGAGTAAGGAAAGAAAGTCATTGATGTATGCTTCGTATTGTTGAGGTTGGTTAGACATATACTGGATATTGCGGTTTAGAAGGTTTTGTACGTTTTTACTACTCTTTTCCAGACTAAGTAGTGCATAATTGTTTCCAGCAATTGTTTTTGTCTGTAATCTTTATCGACTAGTCTGTGGAGAGATAAGGTAAGTGTAACTTACTTAACATTTAATTCCTTCATTATATTATTCAGTTTTGCTACTATTTACATGAGATAAGTTATTACTTCTCGTCAGGTTGTTAGGTGACTGGTTGATAGAGTGCTATAGTTATAATGTTATATTATAGGTAGCCCCTCTTTTTTGAAGGATCTACTTATAAGAGATCGATCATGGAGCCAGTACAGAAAGTATGTAGTTTCTAACTTAGTGTTCTAGACTGAGAAGGAATATGGCACCTACTTGGATTCCTGAAAAAAAGGAAATGTTATATTGCTGGATTTAACGTACCAAATCAGGACCAGAAAAAGAGAGTAGATGGGCAGCAAGAAGCCATCAATAGGCAAATAGTTTCCAAGAACGTGAGAATTCTGAATATTCCCAACCCCGAGGGATTGTCTTATAAAGAAATTGCAAGGAAATTTTTGAGGGAAGTCATTAAGTGAGTGAGAAAAGGTCATCAAAATGTATCTTTGTCCAACTTTTACCGTTACAAGTAATAAGTATGTTTAGATACGATGCTTGAAGCAGGGCACGCCATCGTTGTGATCATCACAACAGGGGGGGTCGTATTTGACCTCGAGGGGGTCGTAAGCGCGGGGACCTTTCTGAAGTGAGGGTGCAGCGATACCCAGATGTCGTTCAGCGCTTCAATGATGAAGAGACTTAATGGCTAGTTGAACAATAACCTATCGTTAGAGGCTGCAGCACAAGACACGAAGCAACACTGCCTAGCGGCAGAAGTGTGGGTGAACGGCGCGATGAAGCTAGGTAAATGATGCCTCCACACCACGACGTCATGAATGCAATATTCTCAAAAGATAAAGGATAAAGTCTCCACCGTTGATCAACCCCTTTGTGGGATGCGGCACGCATTCTACTTCCATTCAGAATGACAGAGGACGTGGATACGAGTACCAGAGCGGAAAATACACTAAGATGCTTTCCTCGACTAAGCAGGCAAGGCTGGCTCCTCACATCATCCACCTTCATGTACACTGAAATATGTAAGCTCATACCCAAGTCGCAGCGCCTGATGGAGAAGGCTCTGGAATTCACTAGCCACCTTCAACAGCTGCGAAAACTTCTAGCGGATCCACCATTTGGAGTTACATACTATGGAAGACCAGTACTTTCTAGCAGACTCCTCCAACACTACGAGCCAGCGTCAGCCAACGTCTGCACGTCGGTCTAAGTACATAACATCTCACCAAGGACGCCATAGGAGCGGTTGATGGTATGCACCGGACGTACCTCGAATGAAAAGACCACTATTTTCTTCGTGGACCCCGGACTGAAGGTGAGCGCTGGCGGTTACATCGCGCGACTTCGAGAAAGGGATATCCTCCCTTAACATGTGTCTTATGTGTATCTTCTTGAAACGTGTTGTAAACTGCTAAACAGCACTGGAGTGGCCACTACAATGGATATCGGAAGGCGTTGGAGGAAAGCTCTTCCGCTCACTTGCTATAGATGAATGCTCATACGCTGAACGCGCTATGGATATCCAGTAGGCTCACCTGAATCCCGTGGATTCCGTCAAGTACCCGTCGGGAGGAGCTCGATAGGGTGGTCTAAACGGTGGCGGAGAAATCGACTATCTCGCTGATCTCAGGCACCACATCGCGGTCGCGTGCCAGAATCTCTCGATGGCGCTCGTCCAGAAGGCTGTGGCGGAATGTCATGATAAGATATTGATAAGTAATCTCTTTAATGTGGTGGTAGCAAATTGTTCGCATCAAGAATTTGATCTAAGTGTAAAGCTTAAAGCGCCTCGAAGGTTAATGAAGAAGAGGGACTTCTTTGCGCCCCCCGTCGCCCCCTCGGTACAATGACTTGCGATTGGCCTGCCGGGATGTAAGATACAGTGTTAATTGTCCTGCCAGACGCAATCTGGCCCATCTGCGCGCCAACACGACAGCGCTGAACCGCGAACAAATTAATTTTTCAAAAGCCTGCATAATACCGTAATCTACCTAGTAGGTGAATTTTTGTCGTGTGTTATGGTTAATTTAAGGTTTTTTCGTTGTTTTTCAGTAGTTTCTAAAGATGTAATTGGCTGTAGTGTTTACTAATATCGCAAGTATGCTTGACCCAGTCTGCTGCAATTCAGGCTAAAGATTTTATTTACCCTGATTTGTTTTCTAAGAGCCGCAGATTTTGCGATTGGAAATACTTTACGTGGTACTGTCGAACTGCCTGAACGCCGAATATCCCCCACCGCTCCGCCAAAACTTCTCCATGCGATCTTCCGGGTTTGATTTCAGGTATTTAGCGCCGACCACAGCGCCGGGCCAAAATAGCGCTATTAATCACCGTAAATTGATGAAAACTTGTATAGCGGCGATTACTTTGAACATGCTGTAGCACTAGGACACATATGGTCATATGCGCTTTGGCTAAGATGAGCCTGCCCTCACGGAAATCTCCTTTTTCTCACATCAGGGAAAGGTAGTCAGATCGAAGTGGCCATTATTGATGAATGAGATAGTAAGATCGCTAGCCCGCTTTGGACCGCTGGTGTCGCTAAAATCTTAACACCTCAAAACTTGTCAAAGCTATTCGTCTGAGCCGAATTATGGAGCCGCGTTTACCACGCAACATGTCATGGGATCGGATCCCTGCTGAGCTTAACTTTTTTGCTTGTTGCGCAAACGTGGCAAAAGTGATTTTGCCAGTCCCTAACATACCTTCAGTTCGTCAACCTGAGCTTGTCGAAGAAAATAAGTTTGCGCTGTCATTCATTTACTGCGCTTCGGACTCTCCTTGGTAGAACCTAGCAGTGCACTTATCAGTCGCTGTCTACAAGGAGCGCAGTTCGCGAGCGCCAACTAAATTAAACGAGGCAAACATTTTCCCTAGACAAGGCTCAGGTAAGAAACTGAACAGTAGCAGTGAGCCGGCCAAAATCCCTTTTCTGCGCCCAGTTGCGCACCAACAGCAAAAAAGTTTAAGCTCAGCAGGATGCGTCCCGTGCCTGTTGCTGTAAACCCGGCTCCATAAACTCATTCAGAGGAATCGACTTTGCAAGTTTTGAAGTAAGATTCCCGAACCACGTCCAAAACACTCTAGCGTCTACATGCTTCATCACAAACGGCGCATATTCGACGCATGACTTACTCTTACCCTATCAGTCGGAAAATGATGTCACACTCGTGATCAGGACATCGAATAACATCGATAGACAAAGTTTCAGCATAAATTTTTTGAGTTTTTGGCGTAGGAATAGTTCAATAGCGCCCAGTTCTCTTTATTGTCATTTTCTTCGTCCCTTTTGCGCTTCTTTTCATTTGTACCCTCGTGACAGGGGGGGGGTCGTATTAAGACCCTTATTTGGGGGGTCGTATTTAGCGGGAAATGATCACAACGCGATGGCGTGCCCTGTGTTGAAGGCGACTCTAACCCGCTGGGGTGGGTGAAAAGCGACGGTTCTTCTAGTGGATTGACAAGTTTCAAGGTGAATATGAGGGTACAATTCGAAGAAATAGTGGACCTTCACTTTAGGTGATTTCAGGCAGAAATGTCGAGCAATTTTTGGAGCCTAACGAAAGCATAAGCCCAACCATAGCCAAACGCTCTGCTTGTCAATACCCTCTTACGTTTGGTCGTTCTCTACAGCTGGCCGCGGAAGGCAGGTTGCCGCTCAGGTTGTTTGCTGCGGGACCCAGCCATCGAGACGCTTGCTGCAAGTTTTGGACGGTGGAATCCATCTGGCCATCACGGCGCACTAATAAATGTTCAAACTTCCACAGCAGCGGCCACCTCGCATATGGCAAGAATCCGTCGCGCAGGACGTACAGCGTCTCTCAGAATACAGACATATTGGTTTCTTCAAAGGCACATTTCACAGTTAGGCAGGTCAAGCTGTTATTCGCTCGTGACATTGCGGGGTCTTAAACAGATGCTGCACTCTTCGGCAGGCTCTAGGCTTATGACCTAGTGCCACTCACACTCGTGTGTCGACGTGCCACTGAAGCCTTGCGAGTGCAATACGACAGGAAATGATAAGAACCCCAACGGATGAAGTTACGTCATGGAAGAGGAAGCTGATTGTATATGATTATGAAGCATACTTCAGGGAACTTATATTATGGTACGGAACCTTCGAAAAAGACATACCTCATATAAAGAGCACTCCTTTAGCGATTGGTCGTGTTTCGCCTTCATAGCACTTTGGTACATATTGAGGAGGCTCGCCCTGATGGACTACACATCCAAGAACCTGAAGAAAATGAAGCTTCTTTCCTTAATGAACAATTCCGGCCTGGAAATAAACATATGCAGTTGTACTTCACCATCAATCTGTCGTTCAGCCAGGGCACAGCTTCGTTGTGTGAAACACATGGGGGGGGGGTCGTATTTGGTCGTTGGGAGAGAGAGGGGTCGTATGTGCCTTGAGAGAAATTTGTCGCCACGGTTTTCCGGTTGTTGACGTTTTGCGTGATTTTTCCTGTTTCAGAGCACTATACACCCCCTGCTCGACAAAAAATTTTCGGGTGAAACACTGGACTGGAAAATGAGTGAGGAAGTTGGTTGGTCAGTGTCGGGGAAGTGGAGGGGGTCGCACTAAAACCCTCTCTCGGAGGGGGGATCGTACCCACACCACCACCTCACACATCGCGATGCTGTACCCTGCGTTCAGCGGCCGCACGCGGCAACTCTTCCAAAGCAAGCTGGGGAGCTAGCGCCAAAGCTCTGCTGCCTATCCCTGTGAACTCGGAAGGATTCAATATTACCTTCCAATCGAATAGTGCGCCATCGGGGCAACTTCTTTCGGTCCACATTCCGTATTGGCAGAACATGTACGAGTGCTTATTCGACGGATGCGGTCGTACTGCTCCAGTATGACATTGAAGTTGTGAATAGTGTTTCTCTTCTAGAATATAAAAGAGAAAGTGTCAAGAAATCAATGGAATTGTCATCGACTCTGAAATTTTACCGAAATTTTGCTGAATGCAATCCTCCTTGGTACATCGGCCGTTGACAAATTGCTTCCCATTGTTGCAACGAGCCTCAACCCACTGGCCATGGTAGCACGTCCTAAGCTTCCACTTATAGCGCTGTTGATAGTATAAGCTGGGAAACGGATGATCCATGTGAACTCACTTGTAATGTCCACAAACTTCAGATGGCTGGAAGCTATTCTCAACGCAGACCATAGGCGAGCATTGACTGAATGAAATATCGAATATTTACAAAAACTGAATTCCTTTCCTGTTTATCACATTCCTTTTTCCAGCTTTTCGGAGCCAAAATTCATTGTTAGCACCTCGAACCTGTATTTGCTACAGATGTTAATACATTGTGAATATAAAAACAAAGGACAAGTTTCAAACCCACCCAGATATGCAGAGCATTTTTTCAGTTTTTTTATTATGTGTGTGGGCCACTGGACCTAATTTTTAAATGGGCAGCTATCTCTCATTTGAAGACATTTTCCCGTGAATATGCCAACACTTCTTCCACCGCTGAGATGGCAACCTCGCCTCAGTGAAACATGATCCCGTTGACGCACAAGTTACGGCGGCGCCTCAAAACGCCACGCTACTTTCTCACGGAAATGTCCAAAAAGAGAATTCGAAGCCTCAAACCGCCACGCGACTTTCCCAAGGGATGTCCGCAAAGAGGATCAAAACCAACGAACCTAGCGGTTATCCGAGTACCAGTGGAAGTTCTTGTGTTATTCGGATAGACTAGTGAAATATGAAACCCCAAGTCAGGGTTTCGACGTGGAAGACCTGCATAAGGCCTGTTCTAACCACTTTCACATATCTGTCACAGGTAGGCAGAAGGAGATAGTGCTGTCATTCTTAGCGATATCCATGCCAACTATATAACTCCTCTCTCGGACCTGTGGTTTACTATCGCCTACGATCGGAATACCTCACATATTGGTCCACACCCATATGAACCGCTCCGCAACATTCTACGCTATAGTAGTAGCGGAGTATCGCACGATAAAAGTGGCATAACATAACTTCCCTCACAATTGGGCCAAGGCAGTACACATGTGTCCGAATCCATTCATACTGAACGGTAAACTATGTTCGAACTCTTTAACTCTCTTTGTTTCGTTACAAGCCCTTCTTGCTACTGAGGGAGTTCGAGCTCCAACTGTGTGAATAATCAAAATAGGAGAATTCTAACTATGCTGTACTCTTAAACTGAAAAACTGTACAGACACAAAACATTCTAAATTGAATAATAGAATAAAAACAACTAATTAATAAATAATAATAAATTGAATAAATAATATTTAATTCAATGTGTATTTTTACTAAGGCTAGTGGGAAACTGCTCCAACAAACCCTTGAACACAATCCTGGGCGACAGCATCATAGATACTACCAGAAGGACAGATCTGTAATAAGACTTCAATAAGCCGACAGCACCTGAAAGCTATGAGCCTTTCTGGGTTTATTCACCAATTTTCAACCTTGTCGATTACTCAAGATCTATGTCCACATTTAGCCACATACCAAAAGTGCTTCCAACGTAAACGCCACATGCGCAAGCTCACAGGCGAGAACTTGAAGGTTGACTGAATACTCTAAGAAAGAGTCATCGGCATTCTTACCATGCTTTGGAATCTTCCAGTCGCTTCGCGGATTAGCCAGAACGAGCACAAGTCGTACTGGTCGGCGAGCCGCTACACGACGGAGCAACGAATTCCTGCAAGTATTTCATCAACTTGAGTCTTGCACTCTACCCCCTGATTCTGATGTCGCAATGCAGCAGAGCGTTGCAGGCCTGAACTAAGCCCACCTGCGGCTGCGTTCTTTACCGATAGTGGCCACTTCAGGTCGAAGGCATTCAATGGTAGAAACCGTCGCGGGTGGGCTCCTTCAACGCCTTCTGACCCCGTTCTCGTGAATCGCGATGATACCAACTGTACCTTTCAACGTTACGACTTTCAGTATGTTTTAAGATTAATAAACACATCAACTAATAAAAATGAGATCTTCAGTTTCTTCCAAAATTTTTTCGGTACTTCAAACGCGTAGTGCATTGAGAAATGCAGAGGAGGGCAGGATATCACACTACAGTAGGATATCATAATCTTGTTTCAGAGGTTTTTTTTCGGAAAATAGGGTCAGTTGTAATATGCCGCACCGCACATCGTGCACTGGTTTCAGTCTCTTCACCGCCCTATGAGAGTGGCAGAACCTTAAAACGGCTCCGCCCATTTAACGACCGTAGAATCTGCCTTTTCCGACTGACTATTGATGTAAACCAACTGTAAATAAAACCCTTACAACCCAAAAAAATCCTTGTCTGAAACCGCAATTGAAACTAAGAACAAATACGGACCAGGCAAAATACGTCATACGGCTTCGGATTTCTTCAGTTTTTTCACAAAAAGTCTTATCTGCCTTAGCCGAGGTGTTCCAGCCGTGATACGGCTCTCGCCAGCAAACCAACACGACTACTCGTTTTCTGCACACTATTGGAAGTTGTAGTCGTGGCAGTAAGTAGGTGAAGCTGCCTTTGAAAGATGAGAACGCGATCAGTAAGAGTTGGAACAATTTGGATGCTGTGCACAACCATGTCAATTGATGCTCAACACTGTGTCCTCAAAATCAGTGCACTGGAAAAAACTCACAGGCACGCCCTGAATCAAGCTTTGGGCGGGAGGCGGTGCGGGAGGTCTTGCTACAGCGTTCATATCTGTAATTTGAGGTAGAGAAGGTGGTTCGGAGTTGTGCTGCTGGTCCTGGCAGTCGCCTCGCACGCAGTTCAGCGCCATT